GTGTCCTCGCTGAACCTCACTGGCCACGTGTGGGAACGGAAGCGAGACCCAAGGCGAGTGGAAATGACTGAGATGAGACTGGACAGGCACAGGTGGAGAAGAGCAAGAAGGGACTGGAATCACCGGCTGTTAAAAAGAGCGGAGACAGGAAGGGCGTCTGAGCGACACTTCAAAGTTTAAAGCATGAAAATAGGCAAATTTAATGGAAGGCATTGACAAGAAAAATGCATTTCAATGACCAAGGGAAAGGACTTTTCCCACCATGATTAACAGAACACAGCATATCATGTTGTGGAACACTGACACCAAGGCATTCATTTTAACATTGTTATAAGAGTACAAAGGTCACTGGTTTAGTAGCTTTTCATACTTCACTTCCTTTTGGTGGCATGGCTTTTCGTCTTTAGAGCATAGACATACACTGTAATATGCCATCATTTCCAAGTCCTAGTTTGTGGGCCAAGCATTACATTTTTACAGTTAAATATTATAGGAATTTTGAGAGATGCAAGATGACTACTAGTTGTAAGAGTTTTAATTGACCCTGGAAATGTTTAATTGTACTTTAAGGACAACGAGCAGTCCTGTGGCACCTGAGAGACTAACAAATATATCATGAGCTTTTGTGGGTAAAACATAATGAAGAGGGTTTTACCCATTAAAATTTATGATATATGTTTTAGGGTGTAGCCGAGTTAGTCTGTACAGAAAAAAACAACAAATCATCTGGTATCTCTTTATAGACTTGACAAAACATGTAGATATCATAAGCTTTCGTGGGCACAGCACACTTCTTCAGATGATTGGAGGATTTTTTTTGTGTTAGTCCAGTGGTCCCCAACACAGCATTTGTGTGCGTCCGCCAAGTGCTCGGGGCTGGCCTGGCCCCGGACATATGGCGCATGAGCTGTGCTGGAGCCGGCCTCAGGCACATGGCTCACGGTGAGCGCCGGCTCTGGGAGCGCGGCGAAGTGGCCGCCCATGGTCCAGGCACGCAGCGAATGGGGAGCGCTGGCCCCGGGTACGTGGCGAATGGGGAGTGCCAGCCCTGGGCACGTGGCTATGGGGGGGAGGGGCACCGTCCCTGGGCATGCAGCAAAGCGGCTGTCCGGGCGCGTGGTGCATGGGGAGCGCCGGCTCCTGGTGCACGCCAGCCCCAGGCATGTGGCTCATGAAGGTGTGGCATATGCACGGCCCCACCCCCTGGTGCATGAGTGGCCCCGCCCTCTGGTGCCCAGCAGGCAAACGGCCACGCCGCCTGGCGATGTCAAATGGTTGGGGACCACTGAGTTAGTCTTTAAGGTGCCCAGGGTTGCCAGGTGTCTGGTTTGGAACCAGACAATCTAGTATTTGAGCTTTCTGTTTGGGAAACAAATTGAGAAAATATAAATGTTCCATATTTTCTAAATAAGATGTAATGTAGATTGTGATATAATGTCAAGTGTGTCCTATATTTTTGTTGAAACCAGCTGGCAACCCTAATAGGTGCCACAGGCCTGCTTGTTACTTTTAAAGTTACAGATTAACATGGCTACTCCTCTGAGATTAATTGTATTTTAGGTATGGATAGGGTCTTTTGTCAGTTTTTTTATTATGTTGGTAAATAGTGAAATTGCAGTAATGGGAGCCTTTGAAAACCTGTTGCAACTCTTGAGGTGTGACGTGTGTGGTTTTTGAGGAGATTTTTTTGTGGGGAGGCTGGACTATATGGAAATGTCTCCTTCACGTTTCAAATAAACCATGTAGATCACCTATTTTTTAATCAGTTCATATTTTTGCTTAATTTTTCAGATAGATGTTCTTAAGCTTACCGCAATTTTCATGTGCCTCACTTTCTCCCCTAAAGATTTAGCAAGTGTCAGAAAGATATCATCTAGGTGTAACATGATCGGAGAGGCACACTATTGCAGTAGCCTGCTCCTGAGCCACTTGAAGGGTATAAAATCATCCTTCTCTCTGTCTTTTAGATCTATTTCTATGTTACCAAATGACACTCCGGTCATCTGAAGAAGTGGGCTGTACCCACGAAAGCTCATGATACCATCTACATGTTTTGATAGTCTTTAAAGTGCTACCAGACTATTTGTTGTTTAAGTTTTTCCTAAATTATATGAACATCTCAGTATCCACACTGATGCTTTTATAACTATAATTTATGTTTTCAGACATCTGTTTCTCCCATTTAAGTATGAAACTCTATGCCGAAAGAATGCTAAGTAAAACCAGACTGTTCACCTTTAGCCCCTTTATTCTAAGATTTTCCTTGTGCCAGAATCTATTAGATGCAAAAGCCTTTCTTAGGAATAGTTGTTTCTCAGGAACATTCAGCAGCCTTCCAGAATACTTTCCTGGTTCAAATGATGGAAATATAAAGAACTAACATCTTAAAATTGCTTCCTGGCCTATATTTCAAAATAGATTTCCATTATTATCTATCATTTCCTCCTTTGAGATTTACACAGAAGGCCGTTATGTAGGGATAACATATTAATGTATTGAAAATGATTCCCCCAAATGGAAGTGACTCCCCATAATTTGTTCCCCACAACTTAAAGTGTTTAGATTTATTATTAATTCTTCTTCTTCTTCTTCTTCTTATTATTATTATTATTATTTGTTAAGATTGTTAAATGTTTAGATTTATTATTATTATTGCCCCTTTAGAATATAATGTATTAGGTCATATAACTTAGAACTGTTAAGAATATAATCCTATGTAGCCAGAAACAGCCCCCCCTCTGTGCCCCAGGGCATGCTCAAGCTTGTGCAAGGGGCTGCTTGAAATTGACATTGCAGAGATACATTGTAACAATGCATTGTCAAGGCACTAACTCTGCTATGGGAGCCAAGCCCTGTAATTGACTAAGGGCATTGTTACATAATTAACGCCTGTTCTCTTTAAAACATTGTAACTTTACTCAGGGCACAGAGAATGTTTTAAGCAATACCACCCAGAAACTTTTGTAACTACAACTTTTATTATTATACAAAATACTGTATGAATGTATGAGAGAGTGCTTGGACGATGAATGAATGGTTCTAAGAGGTGCCAGCCTGAGAATACAGCAACAAAGGGCTGAAGAAGGTGTCAGGTGCCAGTGCAACCAAAAAGTGTCAAATGGAGAAAACCAAGTACTGGAGGTCCACCCGATGAGATCACTGACGAGCACCTGGCAGCCACCCTGAAGACATCAGCATGATGCAGCAATTTCCATAGACTGGCATGGGAAGAAATTCCTATAAGAACTGGACTAAAAAACTATGGAATCAGAGTCCAAGGTTCTGCTGCCAGCCTACCAGGAGCTTCAGATGCGCATCTGATCAGGACTTCGCTCCCCACTCCCATCACTTGTGTACAGAATACCTGGCCAGTATTCTGTCACAAGCAACTTCTAGGCTGGTAACTATAACAAATACACAGAACCTGAAAGAATGGATGAATG